TCAACTCAAATTCAATATACTCTCCTCTGCTCTCAGTATATTATCATAATGATTTTTTTTTGTCTGTATAAAGAAGTGTGAGGTACCTTACCCAAAGATGCATTTATTTGGACTTAAGTATAATATTTATTAACAGAAGAAGGATTGTCAGCAGTAGCTGAAAAATGTGAAGCCTTTAATTGACCAGAAAACTATGGAAACTATTTCTACTTTCCAAGTATCTTAGATATACAGTGGTACCTTGGTTCACAAACTTAATTCTTCCATGATTCTAAATGCTTACAATTTGGTGGCAATCAGAATTATGAAACAAATTTTGCCACTAGAATTGTGGAAAGAATTAAGTTCATGAACCAAGGTACCACTGTACCTTACATTGTCTACTACAGAGGTCAACAAGAGCTAAAACTTCTATTTTTGTTTTAAAAACAAATAAAATGAGGGCTGGAATATATCTCACTGGTAGAATACTTGTCTGGCATGCAAGTATGCAAGAACCCAGCAAGGTCCTGGCTCCAATCCCCAGCCTCTGTACCGTTAAAAACAAAAAAAAAGTTCAGGTCTCACTTGTGACAAAGTACTTTCTATTGTTGACGCTCACAAAATTAATAACCCAGGGAGTGGAGAGGATAGATCATTTTTATGTAATGTTCTTTTTGATTCACAACTTAAACATGAAACTGGACAGGGGTATACATATTGTAAAATAAGCTGAATTGAAGTTTTAAATTGTACTATGGTGTTAAAAAATATCTTCTAGAATGTTAAGAGAGCTTTTAAAAAGCAAGGAGACAAACTGACAATACACTGGCTGTCTTTCTATTCGAAATCGTCACTTAAGCTACACGTATACTGGATCATTAGCACTGAAATCTCAGAAGTGGAAAAAATAAGCTTTAGGGCTGAGGTGTGGCTCAGCGTGTGTAAGGCACCCAGTTTGATCCCCGGCACCAAAAAACAAACAGACAAATTCTAAAGCAAAAAATGACCTTCAGCTAACTTAACCATTTTAAAAGAACACTCAAATTATCCCTATCAGAAAATACTTTGTAAAGATATATTCTTTTTTTTTTTTTTTTTTTTGTCTTTTTCCTTTTTATCAGTACCCGAGATCAAACTCATGACTGCCTGCTTGCAAGGCAGGCGCTTATGCCGCTGAGCTAAATCCCCAGCCCCTGTAAAGATATATTCAATTAAACTATTTTAAAGCATCCCAGATAAAAGTAAATCTTTAACAAGCAATTTAAAGAAATCATTTTCAGGGTTTCAACTGTGTTATATATAAACCAATACACTATAATATCAACAAATATATTGAGTATAAGAATCGTGCCATTAACAAAGATTGTAGAAACTACTATTCAGTACTGCAGTTTTCATTCACTTTGTTTACATGTATAAACTAAATTCAACATTATACCTGACACCATAAACTTAAATGTAATATTTCAAATAAAGCACAGAAAAATAAAATGTGAAAGACAGTGTGTATAAACTTTATACTGTCACACAACTTTGCCAAATCATTTAAATATATAAACCAAGGATATAATGTATATGTTAATAACCTTGAAAGCAAAAACTCTACTAATACAGTTTAGATCATAAATATCTCCCTAAGATCCTTATATTGTTAAAGGTTAGTTTCCAGTTTGTATTATTGGGAGATAGTGGAAGATATTTTGGAAACTGGGGGAACGCACTTAGAGAAAATAGGACGACCCTCGACCTCTTCCTTTTCCTCTTTTTCATGTCTTGGCCATGAGGTAAAGGGTTTTACTCCACTATGCCTGCCACGATGTGCTATCTTACCACAGACCCAAAAGTAACTCGGCCAATTGACCATGAACTGAAATCCTCAAAACCAGGAGTCAAAATAAGGCTTTTCAGGGACCAGTGATACAGCTCAGCAGTGCAGCACCTGTCTGACAAGCAGGAGGTTCTGAGTTTGATTACCGATGTGAAAAAAAAAATCTTTTTTTACTTTTCTTTTTATAAGTTAACTATTTCAGGTATTTGGTACAGTAATGGAAAGCTAACACACACATATTTTAATTTCATTACAGTATGTGTCTATACTAAATAAAGCTTTATTTCATTTTAAAGTAAACTTTTCTCAGGATAATTGGAAATATCGTCCAAATTTTTAAATTTTACATCCTATGACCTACGAATCTCACTCCTACAATCCACCTTACAGAAAAATAACATGATAGCACATGGTTAGCGAAGCATGGTAGCACATAGCCATAATCCCAGTACTAAGCGGAAGCTGAATCAGGAGGATCAGAAATCTGAGCACAACTAAGCAATGTAGTTACTTTGCAAGACCCTGTCTTAAAATAAAAAAAAGGGCCAGACGTAGCTCAATGTGAGGACTCTGGGTTCAAGCTCCAGTACTGCCAAAAACTTTTTTTAAAAAAATAACATTATAGCCAGGTGTGGTGGCACAGACCTGTAATTCCAGCACTCAGGAGGCTGAAGCAGGAGGATTGTTGGGAGTTCAAGACCAGCTTGGGCTACAAACTGAGCTCAAGTCCAGCCTGAACTGCATAGTGAGACCCTGCCTCACAATGACAACAAACAAACATAACATTATAGATACACACACACCACACACACACAAAGCCGATTACAGCACTATTTGTAAACCTAAAAGTTGTAAATTTTGACTTTTAGTAGAGATTTTCTCCAAACTAATCTATAGAACAATGCATACTCAGTCATATTTCTTAGAAGTTTTGCTCATGCTTTATCCTGAGTTTTTTTTTTTTTTTCTTTTTTTGTGAAAAATAACTGACTCAAAAGTTTAAGTGTTGGGGCTGGAGATTTAGCACAGTGGCTTAGTGCCTGCCTGGCAAGTAGGTCATGAGCTCAATCCCTAGTGCCAAAAACAAACAAACAAACAAACAAAAAGAAGTTTATGTGAAATTAGATGAAAAGGAATAATAATAATCAAGACATTCAAAAAGCGCAAGATGGGAAAACCTGCTTTATTGAAAGCAAGAATATACATCAATAGTTATTGAGATGCTGTTATCCTGGATCAAAACTAGAAACTATGGAATAGTATAGACAGCACAGAAAAAAAGCCAATCAAATATGCATACTTAATTTTTGAAAAAAAGTAGAGCAGGAGCTTGGAACACAGCTCTGTGTAGAACACTGGGTTACCATGTACAAAGCCTTGAAATTCAATCCCCACTACAGCAAAAACACCACAACAAAAGGAAAAAAATCAAAAGCAATATGCAAAAGATGGAAAACTGAATACACATTTTATGGGAGGTAAAACTTAATGCTCATCTCTTACCAAACTGAAAAATTATTTCCAAAGTATAGACCTAAAAGTTAAAGCAAAACAAGACAGAAAAATATTCTTCAGTAAGAAAAGAATTCTTTAACAAAAATTAGACATCAAATTAAATACTGACAAACTGGAGAGTATAGTAAAACTAAGAACTGCTGTTCATCAAAGACAATGCTAAAAGAAATGCAAGCCACCAAGTGGAAAAAGCTCTTTACAGAACATCTATCTGATAAAGAACTCCTATCCACACTATATGAGAAAAGAACTCCTATGTGCTGGGAGATCTGTTCAGTGACAGCACTACTTGTAGTACTAAACAGTAATAGAATTTGATTTGTAATATACAAAGTTTCCCCAAACCAATCTATAAAGTATGTGTTTAGCACACACAAGGCCCTAAGTTCAATCACTAGCACCACCAAAGGAAAATATACAAATCAAAAACAAATGGGACAAAAAAAACCGTATCAAGCAGTATAAAAAAGACAATCTAATAAAAAATGAGCACAAGACAAGAAGTTCATAAAAGAACAGACTGTCAAATGCCCAAGGAACAGATGAAAACTTCAGTCTTACTCATCATAAAACTATAAATAGAAACTATAACAAAAGACTATACACTTACCAGAATTACAGACTAATAGGAGTATAGCAATAATAACTTTCATGAATTTCTATTGGGAAGGAAAATTTTCTTTTTGCAGTACTAGGGATTGAACCAGGGATTTTTGCACTGAGCTACATCACCACCATTTTTCTTTTCTTTCTTTCTTTTTTTTCTTTTTTTGGTAACTTTGAGACAGGGTCTCATTAAGTTACCTGTGGTACTTGCGATCCTCCTGATTCAGCCTGCTGGGGTACTAGGATTCCATGTGTGCTCACCACACATAGTTGGAAAAGAAATTTTCTACAACTATTCAAGAATACCAATGGCATCATATTCTAAAGTCTTAAAACTAGCTACGTCCTTTGAACCAATGATTTATTCCAAAGTACATGAAACAGAAACACAGGTGCATATGTACCAAAAGAAAGCACAGTAATGTTCACAGTACCATTAACCTGAGACAACCCAAATATTTCACTGTAATGTTTACATTTCAAGAAAATACATACGTGGCAAAACTATAAAGAAAGGAAGTAAATATAAAAAAATGCAAGATGGTTATAATCATTAGCAGAAGGAAGCACTAAAGTGCTTGAAGTATTCATTTTCTTGACCAGAATGGCGGTAATATGGATTCACTGATTTATATTTACATCTTATCCTCTTTATTTTTGTTACACTTTACAGAAAAAAAAACATTGGGAAAAAAATGAGTTTTGGTACCAGCTGCTAGCTCCATAGAATCAGTCAAGTCACTTTTTCATCTTCACTCACCAGCCTGACAACACATAGCTTTTTCCCATGACATATATTATACGGACTGTTAACAAATTATTCTGAAAGCTTCCAGTGATATGGAGTACATTATTCTCTCAAATTAAGGTTCACAAAGAAACACTTTACAAAAGCATAACTTCTGCTTGAAAAGAAAAAGACTGTTACTATACTATAATAAAATATCTATGAATAATTTCCCTTTTTTTCAAAATAATTTCCCATTTTTGTTATCAACAGTACAATTACATTTTGGGTTATTTTCTTGTGGAGAAGAATACTGTATGATAAAAGAAATTTCAAACTTACCTCTCTATTGGGAATAACTTCTTCAAGTTGCTCTGTAAATGAAGATGTCCTGCTCCTAGTTCCTGTTGGTGTTGAAGAATTGGAGGAAGCCTAGATTTAAAAATTATTGTATAAATTAGAAGACTAAATTGACTATATACCAGGTAGTTCACCTCTTAGTCCATCCCCAAGAACTCAGTGAAATAAAGAAAAGCAGAAAAGAATAACTAAAATGTAATCAACTAAAAGACCCAGGCCAACTGCTGGGTCCTTAGCCTGACTTTACCACCAATCAAAACCATAATCTTAGCTAAATGAAATTTTTAAGGGCTGTGTCACTTTGGATATAAAGTTGTGCTGGTAATGTATATGCTAATATTAAGGGAAACTGAAGCCAGGTGAGAGGCATAGGGAATCACTACTCTTCATGTAATTTTTCTGTAAAATAAAATGGTTCCAAAATTTAAACTTCATTAAAAACATAAAGTTGTTGCCAGGCATAGTGGTGCATGCCTGTGATCCCAGAAAGTGGAAGGCCAAAGCAGAAAGATCGCTGTGAGTTCAAGGCCAGCTTTAGCTGCACAGCAAGACTCTGTCTCAAAAGGCCAAAAAAAGAGAGAGAAAAAGTTGTCAATTCCATCTTTGAGACCTCTTAAACATTCAACACTATAAATGCACCTCTGCAGTCAACAATCTTTCTTTCAACCTACTTGTACAGCACAGATATACTTCTATGCAAAAGGCAGCCTGACTATAATGGTTTGTGCTTCCACTGTTTGATCATTTTTTTTCATGCCCATATCCTGTAATCTGAGCAACTGATTTCAAGATAACAATATGCAATATATTAATCACTGTTAATCTATTATTTTGTTTTCAAATTCAGTCTCATCATTTCTATTTTTGGGGGGAAAAAAAAAGGCTCAGGAAAAAGGAACCAAAATTTAAAGTAGGAGTCTGACATGTATTCTAAGGTGAACAACAAAAACATAAAACCCTAAAAGTACAAGGCCAAAATTTTAATACTCCTCCACCCTGTAACAAAATAGATCTGAACTCATCTTACATTAAAATGAATAAGTCTTGATACTTTACTCTTGTGTAGTCTATACATCTGTACATAAAAGGGATTTAATATCTGTCAAATGAATGAACAAATGTAACTCCGATCTGTCAAATCTGTATACATACTGCCATGGTTAGGCTACAAATATGAGGTCATGAGACTATTATACATATATTCAAATACATACAATATATACATAAAACATATTTAATTTATGATAAATGTAACATTTCATATCGGGACAGATGCCATAAGTCATCCAAATGGGTGTCATCAATCAGATCATTACTTCATACATGCACTATATTAAAGATTTAAATTTTTTTTTGTCTTTTCCCTTTTTTATCGGTACCAGGGATCAAATTCACGACTGCCTGCTTTCAAGGCAAGCGCTTTTGCCGCTAAGCTAAATCCCCAGCCCCCATTTAAATGTTTTTAATTGATACACAAAAATACAATAGTCTTAATCTGTGAATAGGAAAAATTCTTTTTATTTCAAAAGCAGTAATTTGAAGGAATAGTTTAATTGAGAGATGGGAAAGATCTACAAAACATGATAGAAGTTTAATCTTTTTTTCTATAACCAGGTCTTATAAATTCGTAAGTTAGCACTCAGAAAACTCAGTTTCTTTTCAATCTAGGGAGGTAATGTGTGCTACACCGAACATCTACACAAGCTTTGAGTTATAAGTGACCAATGCAAGAAAACAACCGTGTAAAATCAAAGTTCATCATTTGGAGAGCACAGGGACAGAGCTTCACAGTCACGCAGATACAAGCTGGATAGTAAAAGGTGCAATGGCCCTACCAAGCTAAGGCAGTTGCAATATTTTTATTCGAGCAGTTTTTTAATAAATTCCTTTCAGCTTAAATGGCTCCAGTGAATTCTTTTTCTTACAACTAAGAATCCCAACACACACATATCTTTCTAAAAGATGAATCAGAACAGTAACACATGATAAACTGAAATCAGCTATAAGCAGAAGTCACCTTAAAGCATAAACTATCCTCTGTCACCCAAGACAAAACAAGAATAAAAACTTAAACTAGGCATGATGTCTAAGTACAGTAGTCCTTTGGGTCACAAACAATTTGTTCTATAATTCTGGAAATGATGGCCACGTTTGTGTTACTTTGGGAAAATTGGCCATGGTCATATTAGTGATTCGATGCAGAATTTGAAAACAGAAAGAAACTTTCACCAAAAGATTCTGTTTGTCAACTGAACTGTGTGCAAACAAAAGTGTTACTGAAATACTTATAATCCCACTAATCTAGAAAACTCAGGCAGGAGAATTACAAATTCTAGTCCAATCTGGGAAATTTAGTAAGATCCTGTCTCAAAATAGAAGTAAAAATTTAAAGAGTTAGGAATTATAGTGTTGGTGCAAAATCCCTCAGTAAAATGTCCAGAATGAGAAAAAGAGACAGACAGACAGACAGACAGACAGACAGACACACACACACACACACACACACGCACGCATACACACACAGAATATGAGAGTATGAATATGAATATTCTAGGGCTCAAATTAAATCTCAAAGATTCAGAGCACCTCAGAAGCCACTTTCATTATAGTTGAAGGACGACACTTCCCCACACCTAGAGCCATAATTTTCAAACCATATCAGCTTCAAAAGTTGGGGAGATGGCCACCACAGGGAGAGAACCACCAGCGACTCCTGAGATCTGTGCCATGTTGGAACTTAGGGTGCCAGAAAACCAAGCAACCAGCTCACCTCCCTGTTAAGTGGCTGTGGTGTGGCAGACTGCAGCGTGGCCACCCCAGGGAGAGAACCACCAGCATCTCCTGAGATCTGCGAGATCTGTGCCATGTTGGAACTTGGGGCACTGGGAAACCAAGCAAACAGCTCACCTCCCAGCTAAGCACTAATGAACCTACGAGCGTACGGGCTAAGAAGCAAACATCCCACCTTCTTCGCCCACCTTTAGCAAATGGAAGCCAGAGATCTGAGCCTCTCTTGAGAGGTTGATCATATGTAATATAGCAAATAAGGAGGATTTCCTTGTACTATCTCTTTGAAGGCAAATATTTTTACCACTGTTTTGCTTTGTTCTGATTAATGGTATTGCTCTATTCATTATTCTTACTTGGTAAGTTCTATTTTGTTTTATTTTGTTTTATTTTGCTATATCTGATTGAAAGAACAACTATTGTGAAGATAATGAGATATACTATGGTACCTATTACTGATATTCCAGTAATCTGCTGTGAATTTCTGTACCAATTTCACTACACTGTCTAAATTGGCTTTGTTTCATCTTGTTCTGTTGTATTTTACTACCTTCAAAATAATAAAAAATTAGATTTCACATTCTTAAAAAAAAAATTTGGTGCACTTCAAATGCTACAATTAGGAGGGAAGAAGTTCCACTTGTATTTACTTACAAGTGGTTATATGTAATAAAAAAAAAAAAAAAAACCTACAGAGAGGTAAAACACTAGGAAATTAACTGTCACTACTAGACTCCTAACCAACTCTCCGTGATCATTTCATAAGGCCTAAGTAATCTCTGGATCATGAATTTAGCTTTCCAAATGTCCAAATGCCAGGAAGTGGCTATCCTTGCCAGCAAGCTCTAATCACTTGAAAAGTATATCTTCCCCATTGTGAATTTTAAAAACTAGTACTAGGTTTAACAACTTCATCTCATGTGATTCTAAAATCAAATGATGGGGTCTACAAAGTTGAAAACCAGATTCTAAAATACACCGTCCTTGAAAAAATTAGAGCCACCTGGAAAAACTAGGCTTGATGGCTTGTTGATCAGCCTCTGGAGTTGCAAGAATGATTATATGATAGAATTGATAAAACTGTAAAGAACAAAACACAGAGAACAAATTGTACTTCAGCAGTTGGTCTAGGTACCCAGGTCTTTGATGGGCTATCCTCATTTCAAGATATAAAGGGATTTAAGTTTTACTGATTATATAAAAAAAAAAAAAAACTGGTTTAATCACATATAAGAAATCTCTAGTAGAAAGATTTCTGGGCTTTTTGCCAGATTTCTGACCTAAAGAACTTTGAAGTAACTGAATTATTAGACAAAAAAGTCATGATAACCTCTTGGCAGTATCAAAAAACATCCATTTACCTTTAAGAATAATAAGCTTGAATTCTCTGTCTCAGTACCATGTCTTTTCATTACCCATTAAGACTAATTCAAATGTCATGCTAAGCCTCTCCAAATGTTTCCTCATGTGCAGCCACAACACCTTTGTACTAGATGACAAGGGCCGTACTTAGTGCCATGGTACAGAGACTAATATACCCATGAAGGTAATGTAATACCCAGCATAGCACATTTCAGGCACTATTACTGTTAAATAAATAAATGTTCTATAAAATACTTTCAGATAATTTATAATTTTTGATCCTTGTAAGCAAACTGAAATGTAAGCAATACAGATATTATCACAGTCTCCTAAATTCCTAAGTCAGAATGCTTACTTAGCTCAACTGAGTTCATACTCCAAGACCTGGGTTAGTTCACGGGTCTTACTGAGGCAAGTAGGCAGGGGATGGCGAAGCTGGTTGGGAGTGTAAGCATGACCACATTCAAGGACATATTCCAGAACAAACAATTCCCAAGAACCCATATATGGACTCCACAAGAGAATGCATCACTATGTGGTACAAATAAAATGACACAGAATAACGAGCTCACTATCATGGCTCTTCAGAGTAGCCTCCTTTGTGCACAGGATGTATTTTTGTTTCATATTTTTTTTCCTTTTACTTGGCAGAAGTTCACTCTGCAGAGACACTTTCTTCTCCCTTACCCTTCACTTTTAATTTTCCCTAACTCAAATAAATGTGAAATTTTGCAGCCATCTTTGCTTGTTTCAGTCAATTCTTTGTTCAAGATGGAAAGAACCACCCCTTGCTCTCCAGACCAAGGACAGCTGAAGATTGTAGGCTGCCCCTCCTCCTCGCCCCCTGGACCTGGGACAGCCCTGGATTATCAGGTGCCCCTCCTTTCCCCCCAGAACTAGGCCTGCAATGATCATTGGCTCCA